GGGGGGGGGGGTGGACGCACTGTGCCCCTGTGTTGTGTTGTGTGTGATGCAGCCGTTGATGTCCGAGTGGCTGGGTCAGGCTGTGGAGGCCATCGCGATGTCATATGAGCAGCAGGTAGGGGCGTGTATCATGCTTTTGTGTGAGCATGGACGACAGACACAGCATGTGTGTGTGTGTGTGTGTGTGTGGAGGTGACGAGTTTGATGCGGACAGTTGAGCAGCAGGAGAAGTCGCTCAAGAAGTTCCAGAAGAAGGGCGGCGCCAGCGATGCGGTGGGTACGGTGCGGTCAACACAAACAACACATTGCACCACACCACACCACAATATTCACACACACACCGGTGCAATCCATCCATCCATCAGGGGTCGCAACTGACGGACCTTGAGAAGATATTTCTCCAGCTGAAACTGGTAAGTACTGATGGATAGACGCAGATGCCATCCACATATTGTGCCCGCCACTGATTGCTCTTGTTAAGAACAACTGTGTGGACGAATGTGTGTGGTGTGAGTCCCTCAGGATGTGGAAGACTTTGAGCGTCAGTGTGGCGCCAAGCTGGGCCTCGTGTGCGACGCCGTCAACACACCCGCACTCACCAGGCTAGTCAAAATGGTTAGCTAGCCACCATGGAAGGCACACCACATGACACCTCGCCGCCCGGCCAGCCAGCATGCCATCGTCTGTGTGCATCGCATCTGTACTTGCTTGTGTGTTGTTGTTGTGTGTGTCTCACTCAGATGGGCGACGCCGTGACGACGGGCAGCGCCCTGCCCCATCAGGCGACGTGATGTGACTGACGCCTAGTCGACAGACATCTGTCAGTATAGCTAGGAAATTAGAGAGCCGCCAGGCAGGCCAGCCGTAAGGAAGACATGTTGGTTGTACCTACCTGAGTATATGTGTGTCACCTAATGATGAGTGAGTGGGTCGGGTCGGGTCGGCCGCAGGCACCACACCACCTTGCACTCACTGCACATAAATCTAACTCAGTCAGTCAGACGACAAAAGAAACTTTGTCTCTCGGGTCGCAGCCCTCCCTCTCCAAATGTAATAAAGACCATCGGGGGGCCCCCGTACACACGCATAAAGAATTACATCGACGAAGCCCCGCCCCGCCCCACCCCACCCCATCCCGCCATGCTCTGCTCAGATGCTGCCGTTGCTGCCGTTGCTGGCGGTGCTGGCGTGTGCATTGCCTGGCTTGTTGTAGGGCGATAGCCTCACGAGCACCTGCTGGCTTGGGGCCGCCAGCGGCATCTGAGCGCGAAGCGTCTTGGTGGGGATGTCGTACTGCATCAGGTCCTCACCTGCAGTGCACACACCACGACACCACACCACACCACACCAAATCAGCCTAGCCCAGCCAGCTTGGCTGACACACGTGTGTGAGTGTGTGTGTGTGTGTCTGTGTGTGTGTATAAGTACCGATCACCACGGGTCCGTCGAAATCGCTGCCGACCTCGGCCATTAGCGCGTCCTTGTCGAACACCGGAGGCGCAAAGTGGTTCAACAGCAGCACACCAACCTTAGTGAGTGAGAGACAAGCACACCACACCACACACAGACGAGCATCCAATCCGCCTGTTCACTCACTGCCTCCCTCACCACCCACCCTACCCACCTCACCTGTGCCTCTGCCGCCAGCTTGCCAACCTCGCTGCTGAGCGTGTGGTACGACGCTGTGGCCTCCACCGTGGCTGCCGTCCGCACCCCCTCGGACACAGGCATCGCACGCTTGATGAACACCTCGTGGACCAGCACATCGCACCCCCTCGCCGCCTCTACCAACGCCCCACACCATCTCGTGTCGCCACTGAAGACCGCCCGCTCTTCCTCTCCAGTGGTGGAGATGGCGAAGCCGTAGGCATGCTCGATTGGCTTGTGGTCCACCACGACCGGCTGCACGACCAGACCACCGAGGGTAATGGGCTCCGGCTCTGTGGGGTGGAGCTCCTCGATGTGGATGTCCAAAGCGATGGTGGAGGGGCGCTGCTCGAAGGCGATGCGGTCTGACCGTTCCTTGTGCCAGCAGGCCATCAGCTCGGTGATGAAGGCTCGTGTGCCGGGGGGACCGATGATGCGCTGAGGCTTCGAGCGACCCTGGTGCCAGGAGGAGATGATGAACTGGACAGACAGATGAGATGGGCAGACGCACAGCCAGAGAGAGAGAGAGTGTGTGTGTGAGAGAGGAAGGGCATTCCAATTAAGGTGCCTAGCCTCTGACCTGGTACAGGTCGATAACATGATCACTGCAAGCACCGCACCCAAGCAACGCACACGAAGGCGACAACAAACAGCGATAGAGACAGCGCTTCTGTCCTTTCTGTCCCTCTCGCATCATCTTCTGGTGGGTTTATCCCTACCTGTGCATGTGAGTGAGGAGCACTGCAGTGATGTCCCTGCCGCTCACACCCAGCGCCGCCAGCCGCTGCGTGACCCCTGAGCCAGCGTCGATGAGAAGGGAGGTGCCGTCGTGCTGCACCAGATTCGCCGCACCGAAACGGTCCGCACGCGGCTGAGGCGAGCCGGTGCCCAGCAGCGTCACCTTCATTTCAAGGGACTGTACGGCGGGTGAGGTGAGGCAGGCCTACCGAAACCAAGCACGCCACCAAGGTGAAAAGAATCAACCCTTTTGGTCGGTGCGGTTCAAAGGCAGCTTCCTTCCTTACGTTAGTGAGTCACAGGGCCTTCGGTTCGGGCGGACAAGCGCCAGAAAAAGCCCGTACGTAATGAGATGGTGTTCTTCGCTAGCAGATCTGCAGACAGAGACCAGGCACAGCCATTGGGCGTCCCCAGATGCTTTGACGCCTCACAGAACAGAAGGCTTTCTACAGGCAATCGACAGGCTCTTTCCTCTCATCCTCTCTTTTTTCGGTACGCACCTGAAGGTTGTGTGAATCTCCCCTGGAGGTGATTCGGTCTGTGGATTCGGTTACCGAATCAGGCAGGGTCGGTCGGTCGGTCTGTTATGGGTTTGACAGGGTGGGAGGGAGGGGGCAGTTCGTCCTGTTATTTCGTCCAGCTCGCACTGCTTTTTACGTGAAACCCTAACCGCCGTACATACGTGGTCCGCTCGTTGAAATGAAAACGTGTGTGAGGTCTGTCATACTGACTCTCTGGCTGTGTTTCTGGGTGTGTCTTGGTGTGCCCTTCCTTCCCATGGAGTGAGGAATCACTGACGCTCCTTTGACGCACGCACGAGGCAGACAGACAGACGACCAAAAATAAAGGCAGCCAGTCTCTCTCTCTCTCTCTCTCTCTCTCTCACGATCAGCTCTCACTCGGCAAAGGAAACGGGGCGGGGCGGGGCGACTAAACAAAACGAAACGGGGCTGGGCAGCTTGTGTGGCTTCACCTATGAGCTTGTCGGTCAGAAGGTGTGGGGCTTGGCACGCTTGGGGAAGAAAATCGCGTTGTGCTGCATCTCGGAAAAGAAAATCGCCTTGTGCTGCATCTCGGAACCCTCTGCAGGCAGACATATATGCATGCGAGCGCATGTTTAGTTGGTGAGTTAGCATCCAAAGGGCCTGTCCGTCTGTTTGTCTGTGTGTATGTCTTTGTGTGCATGTCGATGGACTCACTTCGGTCGAAGCTCCAGGAGGGATGTCCGGGGAAGAACTTGGTCGTGACCTCGGGCTTCCCGCCGAAGAGGGTCCCCGTCTCGGTCGACATGAAGTCGCCACCTTCGTATTGTACGTCGGCGTCGAAGCTTTCCAATTCGACTTGCTTGCTGAATCGCCTGTTGAACTCCTGTGTTACACAAGACAAAAGAAGAAGACGAGATGTGCGAGTATCCGGATGTGGCTCTTCCCCCGCGTCAGGTGTCTGCTTTCTTACGACGCTGTTGGCCATGCACCAAGAACCCGTTGGGAGCTTCTCCCACGCTAAGAGCGTTGGGACTATGAAGCCTTGATAAGTCTTGCAACCTGTCGTAGAAGTCTCGAATGTGCCCAGTCCCCTGTCGCTTGCTCCGCTCGCCATCAGGATCTGGGAGACAGACAGGGCAGATAAGTCCTACAAACGCCCCCAACTATCGCGTGATCCATCCTTGCCTCGTTGACGATGCACGTCTGTGTCTCGGGGTCTGGGCATTCCTTCCCCGAAAGGATCTGGTCTCCGTAGACGTGTGCCTGCATACGGATGACGCCGAACAGAAGTCACTGACGCCGAACATGAAGTGAGTCGGGCGTTTTCTCACCGTTTTCTTCCTCACGAGGGGTCCACCCTCCTTGACCTGATCGTACTTTCAGTAGGTGTAGTAGGCAAGGAGCTTGACTTCGCACTGCTGGCTCATGGCCACAACGAAGCACATGGCGGACACGAGGGCCTTCAGCGTCAGCACGAGGGATGCCATCTGCAATGACACCGAAACCCACAGTGCATGGCACACAGCGCGTCGTGCAGTGCCCGGAGGCTATTGGCGCCTGGCTCTCTCGCTCACCGTCTGCACAGCTCAAGTGAACTTGGCGGAGCGATGCAGCTCAGGTCACGCGAGGATTCTTCAAATGGACGCGGCTTGTGCAGCGATCTGTAGACCGGTGCCGCAATGCGACAGGCAGCACTCAGACAGCGGAAGGGAAAAGCACTTGAAGGCCGCAGAAGTGCAGCTCTTTCAGAGACGCCCCCATGCAATCTCTGCTGCGAGCTCGCACTGGCAGTGCTCCCACTCCATCGAGGAGAAACGCATAGGGTTTCTCATGCTTTTGAGGGTTTTTTCACACACGGTAGCTGTTTGTCTCAATCTTCCCCCTCCCCCCCCATTCCGCGAATTGGGCTAGTGCCTATTTGCGTCTTTAAGAAACAACGTTCGGCAGACAAAACGTTCGATCACGATCGTATGGGAGAGAAAAGGGGAAAACGGTAGCGGTGTTGTGTTGCTTGCACTACTACAGACACGTCAATATGTGGAGAAGCTTCGTCTTCTTCTGTCGTTTGGATCAGTGACCGTTAAACTGATGAACCCTGAAGCGGCAAGTATGAAAAACGCTTGGCCGTCTAGGGTGCTCCATGAAACCGCTGCTGCTGTGTAGCCATGCCGTCTGGTTCCCTGCCGTCTATCCCCGAGCATGACGTGCCTTCCCGGAGCAGTAGCAGCGCACTGCAGCAGCAGCAGCAGCAGCAGCAGCAGCAGGAGGAGGCAAGACCGAGAGCCAAGGCCAACACCAACAAGTTTCTCTTTACTTACGACGCCTTTATGGATCCTGACATCGTCTACCACTTCGCCGGAGAGCGGCCCGTCTCATCTCGCGCCGGCTGGATCAGCGGCTTCAGCCTCACCTTCGACAGGCAAGGCTTGCCGCTTGTCGAGCCGGTGCTCGCCAACATGACGCAGGAGAGGGTTGATGAGGATGGCGATGCTCCCCACACACAGCCACACGAGCGGCCGAGGGTGCACGGTGTGCTGCACGAGTTTTCCAAGAGCTCTATGCTGCGAGTGGTGGATTACGGCAAGCAGATGGAGTGCTTCGCCTTTGTGCCGCTGAGGGTGAATCTCTACGGCCCCGGTGTGGCGGTTGGCGAGACGGAGGCTGCTCTTGCGATGGTCTGCCACCGGTCCAGCGTCATTGGGCCAAACAGCACACTGCTGCCGAGCGCTGAGTATGTGCTCAAGCTGGTACGATTGGCCAAGCGGTTCCGCCTCGCGGATGAGTCCGTCTATCAGATGAGGACGACGCCGGTCAACCCCGCACCCCTCTCACTGGGCGGCCGCGTTGCCAAAGCCTTGATGAGCTTTCTCATCCTGCTGGGGTATTGGTGTGGGTGGCCGGCCTTCGGGTGGTCTATTCTGGACGTGCTGTGGGCCATGAGTGACTTGGAGGCAGCTGTGTGGATCTGCGGCTACTTTTCCTTCATGGGGCTGGCCGTTGGGCTCATGGCGCTCTTCCTGATGTACTTGGCGCCGCGCCGGCGAACCGTTGTGGTTGGGGATGGGGGGCTGGATTGGACAAGCGATGGGAGAGGGGGGCTGGAGAGGGAAGGAGAGCTCTGATTGTGTGCTGTATGGTATGGTGGTGGGCGGGGTGCGGGTGAATGCATTGACTGCAAGATTCGTTGACTGGACAAAATGGGACGGGACATGAAACATAGCGTAGCATCATGTCATCGATGGCACATGGGGGGTCCATGCCTACTCAATGCGCATCAACTATTCACACAGCCGAATTACTCTCCCTCTCCTCCACAACACACAGCACGGAAAAACCCACACGGACGACCAGACGAACAGTCGATCGCACGCCTGCATCTCGTCAATCACTGTGGTGTCGCTCTTGCATCCTCCTGATGCCTCGTCTCGACATCAACCGACAACAGACCGTCCGCACGAATCGACACCTGCACCCACACACACCATTATATGCAACACAATCCATCCATCCATCAGTCCCGCCTGCATCCGCCCTTCTCACCTTTTTTCGCCTTTCTTGCTGCTCGGGGTCGGAGGCTTCCGCCCCCTCGTCAACTTCGATGGACGCCCTGTAGCCATCCTCCTGGTCAGTCAGCTCGATGACGATCGGCGGTGATGTCTGTGTGAGCCCAAGGTCCTCAAGAGATGTGGCGTATCTCTTGTAGAAGCTGTGGTAGTCCACTTGATAGTGATACACCTGCAGCAGGGACTCCTGCACACACAGACAAGAGAGAGAGAAACCTTATGTGTGTCTGTCTGGGGTGTGGTGTGGTGTGTGTGTTGTGGGCCTGAAGCTTGTTGTGCTGTGCTGTGTGGGTCACTTTGTGGTCGAAGAGAGGGTCTGGGATGGAAGGGTCTGCCTCGCTGCTGGGCGACTCTGCAAAGACGACAAAGCCCCACCTCTCCGGCCGGTGCATGTTGACGATGCCTGCACCACACACACACACAAGTGTGCATTTGGTGTGTCCCTCAATCCGTTGTCCCCATCTAATCAGTCACTCGCCTTGTGGCGTCCATGTCCAGTTGTCCTCTGGGGGCTTTTTAACGTACGAGCCGTTCACCACCTCCAGCGGCCACTGACACGACAACAGCGCACACACAGCATACATACAGCAACGTCAGTCAAGCCCCATCGTCTGACTGACACGGTCGGTCGGCAGCTCTCCCACCCACCTCCACTCGGCTGAAGTTGATTCGCCACCAGTCGCCGGCCTTGGGCTTGGCCGCCTCCTGCCCGACCAACGCAAAGAGGTCCTTGAAGGGGAAGTGCGCCGTGATCCCCCAGCCAATGTCCGTGTCACTGGGGTCGTTCAGGCTGCCGTGCACATCAGCTGACACACATAGCATAGAGAAGCAGACAGACAGAGAAAGAGAGAGACGAGTGTCCATGTGTGTATGTATGTGTATGTGTGTAGCCCTATGCGACAGCGGACGCACCCCTCCATGCATCTATCTGCATCTACGGGCGGCCCGGCTTTAATAAGGCACACACCAAGTTTGGTGACCGCTGTTCCCTCCCTTTGACACCTTGCCCTTCACATCATGCTCTAGGAAGGCAACGCCAGAAGGGCTCACTGTCTGTCTGTCTGCAAACCTGCCTGGCCGCCTGCGTCATGTGTGTGTGTATTCCCTTCACTCACTTACTGCCTGTCTGGATATTGGGCAGGTTGAATGTGGTAGGGCTGCCTCCATCGCTGTAGGGCTTGTCAAGGGTCAGCTCCCACCGGATGTTGTTGGCATTGACCTCGTACTCGTAGTAATGGTGTGTGGAGCCGTCGCAGTTGATGAAGACCTCAAAGTCATGGTCGTAGTGGAATATGTACTGGTTGATCTCCGTGGCCTCAGCCATCAGGTGGGGCTCGTCCATCCAGCTGCCCACCCACAGACCAGAATCGTCCCACATCATCTTGACGCGCTGACACACAGACAGCACCACACACAACAGACATCAACGTCACATAACATCCACAGCACAGCGTGTCTGTGGATCGGATCTGCCTGCGTGGCGTGGCGTGGCGGTGCCCCGGCCTGGCTGGCCTGTTTGTTTCTCACCCACCCACCGTGTTGTATCGGGGCATCGGCTTCGCTTCCCCTTCAATATCGGCGAAGAGGGTGCTCCACGGTGCGTGCTCCCACGCGCTGTCGTTGACTCTGCCATCGGCCTTTGGGCCGTCGTCATTCTTGACAGGTGGCGCCACGTACACCAGCGGCCGGATGGCCTTCATCTTCTCCCACATGGCGTACCTCTCGCCGTGCCATTCCATCGTTGCTGCAGTGGCTGCCCGACACGCGACGAGGGAGCCTCTCGGCTGGTTGCTGCAGCCCAATGACGGAACGAAGGCAGATCTCGCGACGGCCGCAAGGTGAGCTGCAAGGACCAGCGGCAACAGGGAGAGCCGAAAGTCCACAACACTTTTGTCAGGGAAGAGAACAGCCATAAGCTGATGATGGCGACTACACCACAGGGCACCGCTCCGGAATGCGAGCCGAAACAATGGCGAGCTGAGCAGCACCGGGTGCATCCGATTTCTCCAGTGCAAACAGGCCTGGGAGGGGTGGCGCCATGGTCCGGGTATGTCCAGTGGTGCGTACGGCAGAACGGCGCATGATTTCGTGTCTCCTTTCGAGAGACACGTTGCGGCCGTTACGTGTACACGAGCGTTGGGCTTTGTTTGACCCGACAGGGAGGAGAGAGGGTTGCCTGTTTGGTTTTTGTGTTTGAGTATCGCTTGATTTGTGGAGCCTGTCGAGGCGCCTGTCTGTCTAGTGTTAGTACTGACTGTCTGACTGACTCCCTCTCTCTCCCTCCCTGTGTCCCCGCCCCGGCCTGCCTCTTGTGCAGATTCAGCGCCGCTGACATCTGCACATCCGCCTGTGTACAGCCTGTAGGTAGCCCAGCCCCCTTCTCTCTGTATATACAGCCAATTAGAGGCGCGGCACCGTCATCGGCTCTGCCGCTTTGCCTTGCCCCTCACTCTCCCTGCTACTCCCCGCCCTCTTCGGTTCGGTTCAAAGGTTGGTCGGCTGTCAGCTGTTTTGCGGAGGCGGCGACCACCTCCCTGCCTGTGTATAGCTTTCCAAGGGCTTCAGTGAGCACCCGATGGGGAGGGACTTTCGGCGGCGCGGTCTTGGGCGTTGGGGCGGGGTGGTACTGTCACTGCTATTTAAAATCGCATTTCTCAGTGCCGTGATGGCACAAGGACCAGGTCAGCCACACACACCCACACACCCACGTGCCCACCCACATACGCCTGCGTGTGCGCGTCGTGTCTGTCTGTGTCCCTTTGCGTTCGTCACTTCAGAGTGTGCTCTTGAGGCTGATTTGGACTACGCCAAGGACTCTGATGCCGACATCAAGGGGGCGACCAACGGCTTCCCCGACTACCTCAACTGCGCCGACTGGTGCGCGGCGACGGCCGGGTGCGAGTACTGGGTGCACGTCGACATGGGCGACGACGGCATGTGCTGGCTCAAGAGCCAACGGGAGCCCGTTGTGGCGACACCAGAGGAGGACGGCAGGAAACTGATGGCAGGCAACAAGGCCTGCGGCAATCCGGACAATGCCCCCATCGAAGGTACGTACGGCACGTCAAGGGGGGGTGGGGGTGGACGAAAAGACACACAGGCGCGGCTGATGGGTGTGTTGTTGTGCGGTTGCATTGATTGCAGCCACGACCCCCCCTGCTGCTGACGACGCGCCAGCAGAGGAGGGTGAACCTGCAGAGGAGGCCCCGGCAGAGGAGGAGGAGGAGCCGGTGGCAGACGCAGAGGCACCTCCTGGTGGTGCTGCTGCGGACGAGGCTTCCGAGTCGACCGATGACGCCGCCGGGTGCTTCTCGCTCAACACGGCATCCAGCTCAGAGGCTATCGAGCAATGGCATTATGACGTGGTCGAGAAGGGTTACCAGGTACCACACACACAGGGGGATGTCGGGCGCGATTGTGTGACGTCTGCCCATCTCTCTCTCTCTCTCTCTCTCCCCGTACGTTCTGTGTGCAGACGCCTTACTGGTGCCAAGTGCGGTGTATGGGCAACCCCGACTGCAACTTCTTTGTCTACCAGTTCAAGCAGGGACACTACCACGACGAAGGTACTGTGCTTACTGCACGCGCTGTCATGGCCAGCTAGCTATCGAGACCTCGATCAACAAACACGCGTTCGTTGCCTTTTCCTTTTTCTCAGCGACCCACGATGTCAACGAAGTTGACTGTTTCCTGTTCGCTGACGAGAGCGGCACTTACACGCCCGACGAGAACCCCGACCTTGAGTTTGTCTTCGGGCCCAAATACTGCCCCGGACAGGGTACCGTACCACTCTCACACACACCATACACACACACACACACTACAAATACACACAACCGGCACGACAGACGCCATTTGTTTCTCTCTTTACTTCACCACTCTTCCTTCCTTCGTTCAGAGCGTGAGAGTTGGACGGCGGCTGTGGAGGAGTGGCCGCTGCGTATCAATGTGGGCGGTGCGCCGCACGAGGACGTCTACGACAAGAAGTGGCAGCAGGACAGGTACTTCACCACCGACTCCGGCTTCGCCAACATCTACAACGAATACAGATTCGTAAGACAACATAACTTATTGCTCACACCAACACATCCACCCACACACCCACCCATACACACACACCACACCAATGAGACAGACACTCTAGTGTCTGTCATTCCCACCATCCATCCCCTCTCTTGTGGCTGCGCTGCGTGGGTGCGCTCAGTATCTGTCCTTGCCCATGGAGCCGCTGGCCCACACGGGTCGTGAGGATTTCATTTACTCGATCCCCGTCGAGTCCCCCGTGGCTGTCGTGGTCAACCTCTACTTCGCAGAAGTCATCCACAAGGAGACCGTCGGCAACCGAGTGCAGAACGTCTTCGTCGAGGGCAACCAGGTGCTCACCAACTTCGACATATTCGAGACAGCCGCCATCCTCATCGCCCCGGACGCTCCCAAGGTCTGTACCACAGACAGACAGACAGACAGGAAGGCGGACTGTCCATCATCTGTGCTGTGTGTATGGGATGGGTTCGGGGGTGTCTGTCTCTCTCAGGAGGTCAATTTTGATGTGACGGACACGGCGACGCAGGAGGTGGTCGGCAACTCGACGGTGGTGAGCTACAACGGCCCCAACGAGCCCTTCGGCACGATTGTCAAGGTGGAGACCCCCATGGTCATCATCGAGGACGGCACGATCGACATCAATGGCGAGGCCGTCACGGGCAAGACGTGGCTCACAGCCATCGAGATCTACGCCACTGAAGTCGTCCTCGACATCGCTGTCACTGCCGAGAAGGCCACTCAGACCGAGCCCTTCACCGCTATCGCATTTGTGCCAGGCACACCCACACAGGTGCGCCGGCCAAGAGCCATTCATTATGTGTGTCGGCTGGGCTGGGCGAGATGGGCCTGCCCTGCTTGTATGTCTGTCAGACATTGACAATTGAGAACAAGGACAGCCGCGACTCGAAGCTGACGATGTCTTTCGATGGCGGCAACGCCGATGAGTTCAGCGTGGAGCCGGCCGAGGTGACCCTCAAGGCTGGAGAGACATCCACAATCGAGGTCACATGGACCGGGGCGTCGTCAGCCACCGGACCTGTCGTCACCTCACTCAAGCTCTCCAAACACGTACGCACACTCAGACGGCCACGTGACGTGACGTGGATGGGGAGGGCATACGAGACGTGATGCCTGCATGTAATGTGTGTGTGCAGCTTCGCGTGTTGATATCGGGAGACATAGACGAGAAGGAGCCCAATCTGGGGGTGCAGGGCGACATGCAGATGGGTCTCATCACCCCGCTGAGCTTCGGCGGCAGCGGCAAGGGCATCCAGGCCCCCCTCACCTCCAACAAGACCGCGACCATCACACGCGTCGTGTCCTTCGGGTCAGAGGAGGCCATCACCGTCTCCGTGCCGGGCGAGTTCACCGTGGCCGGCTCAGACGACGTGGCCCTCACCAAGCCGCTGGAGATCGGCTCCAAGGGCACCCCGATGCGCATCAGCTTCGCGGCCCAGGACGCCGGTGACTTCGAGCTGATAGTAGCCTTCATCGGCTCCGACTTCCAGACTCGGTTCATGACGGTGACTGGCCGTAGTGTCAAGAAGGGCGAGCCGCACTACCTGCACCCGGTGCTGGACTTGCCGCCGGGCGGCTACGTGGTGGACTATGACGGCGATGGCAAGGAGAAGATCCTCCTCATGGGCCACTTCTCCCACACACACGAACCCAAAATGGTCAGGCAGCCGGCAAACACAAAGGGATAGGTGCCTACATGCCCTTGTCGGCTGTGTGTGTGTGTGTGTGTGCATACAGAATGTGGAGAAGTGGACGTTCAACGTCAACGGCCAGGTGGTGTCGAGCAGCGACGAGAAGGACATCACAGAAGAGTACGACCTCGGCGTCTACACCGTCCAGCTCGACATCACTGACATGGAGGGCAAGTCGCTCGCAGACACGGGAAGGTACGGTACGCACGGACATTTCACAGCCCTTCTCCTCTCCAGCTGTCCCACCCCAGACGCTCACGACGGTCTTTGTTGTGTCTGCAGTGTTGCGGTGGTTGCCATCGACAAGGTGCCAGGGTGTGCGGCCTTCATCTACAAGCCGTCGGTGTCTCAGCTCAACGAGTTCTTCAAGGCCCCTCTGGACGGCATCAACTTGAAGGGCAGCTCGGGCACCCTCGAGCCCCGCTGGATCGGCAGCAGTCTCGAGAACGGCTGCGAGTTCAAGCCCGACATCCGCAGCAACCAGATCATGGGATCTCCCTTCAAGCAGGACCTCATCCTGCGAGCCAAGGGTGTGCTGGAGGTCAACGACGACATGAAGAATGGCAAGGGGGAGGTGATGCTGGCCGTCACCGCGGAGGCGGCGGTCAAGACGATGCTGTGGCTCAACGGCAAGTCGGTGTCGCTCAGCAAGGGCAAGGCCAAGGCCAAACTCGCCAACGGACCGCAGGAGTTCGAGATCAGCTGGCTCATCAGAGACCCCGCCTCAAAACCCCTCTCTGTAAGCACACACCCACCCACCCACCGCACATGCCCCTGGGGCATGCCGGTCTATTGCGTCGTGTCCTGTCTCCATCCACAGCTGCACACCAAGGGTGAGGCAACGGGCATGGACGAGGTGTCTCACAACCAGAAGGATTACCCCCCCTTCATCAATCGCATCACGCCCGCCAAGGGCCACGTGTCGGGCGGACAGAAGATCACCGTCGAGGGCGCCGGCTTCATGAACCCCGATGCGGCCAAGGGGGGCGTCTCGCTGCACTTCGGCGAGGCCGCCGTCGACTACCTCACCGACGAGCGCATCAGTGCCGTATCCGGGACCCAGATCGTCTACGAGATCCCACCAAATGTCGGTGGAGTGGGGACGACACATACGCAATCAGACGAGCACATGCGTCTGTTGTGTTGTGTGTCGTGTGTGGCTTTCTCCGGCAGGAGGAGACGGAGATCAGCGTGTCGGTGGAGACGCCTGTGGGCACGTCCAACGGCAAGCCGTTCGAGTACTCGAGCCGCGTGCCGCCGGCCATCAAGTGGACCAACGACACGACCCTCCTCTCGTTCGACAACGAGGACCCACTGAAGGACAACTTCATTGAGGAGTGGATCGGCTCCCTGACCCAGGGCGAGTTCGGCCCTGACCTCCGGCTGTACATGAGCGACATCGGCGGCGGCATCCGGTCGCTCAAGTTCACCAGCAACAGCGAGGTTGAGGAGGGCAGCATGATCGAGATCAACACCATCATGGACAAGTACCCAGGACACGCCATCACGGGCTTCGGATTCGACCCCTTTGAGGACCCCGAGAACCCTGCCATCTACGTCGCACACGCGCCCATGTTCTACTGGGTACACAACACACGGACGGCACCTGGCCTGGCCAGCCACACACAGATAGGTGCACACACTTGACTGACGTCACATCCTTCTTTGCCTGCCTGGCTGCAGCAAAATGGCGACTGTTTCTCTCCGGAGAGTGACTACGCCGAGTTCATTGGCGTGTTGAGCAAGCTGACGGGCCCGCCCGACTTCAAGAACCACGAGGTGGTGGTGGACGGGCTGCCGATGTCCAACCACGACCACGGCATCAACGGCGTCTCGTTCGACAACAGCGGCAACCTCTTCTTCCCCATCGGAGCCATGACCAACATGGTACGCACGTCACCTCACTCACGTCACCTCTGTGCAGACAGACGTATGCTGACTCGTGGATGGTACGGTTTGTGTGTGCACACCACCTGTCATGTATATCATCAGGGCTGGCCCGTGTGCATTTTGGGTGGCTTGCCCGAGAGCCACTACAGTTCGGCGGTGGTCAAGGTGGAGCTGAGGAACCCCAAGCGCACCAAGACCCTCGAGTGGGTCGACTACTTCACGCGGGAACTCATCGAGGAGCCCAACCAGGTCAGCTCACATCACTACACAACACAACACGCACACACGGGCCCTCAATCAAGAGGCTGACATGACCTCCCCCGTCTCTCTCTCCCTCTCTCCCTCTCTCCGTGACTGTGTGATTGCGTATGCAGGTTGTGGCTGACAACTACGACGTGGCCCCCTGGGTGACGGGCATATACCCCTACTCGTTCGGCTTCCGCAATGCCTACGATACCGTCTACACGACGGGCGGCCAGCTGTGGGTCTCCCAAAACGGCTGGAACGAGGGCTACGGCCTCGCCATCAACGGACCGCCCCCCTCGGGGTGCGAGTACGACGGATGGGACAAATCTTCATACGCCTCTGCCGAAAGAGGTACGTACCTGGGTAACGTGTGCCTGTGATGTGTGATGGATGTGATGGATGTGTGTAGGAATGAATCCGTTTTGGAAGGGCGAGGAGAAGTGTCTGCCGGTGCTGGCTGACGACTGGACTGACCCCGATCGCATCTTCGAGACGTTCTTCAACGCCTACCACGGCCTCCCCAACGCCGCACGTGCGAGGAACATGGGTGACGACCGGCAGTGGTACGTCAAGGACGCCAACGCCCCGCACGACCCTCCCAAGTTCTACCAGGGATACTCATGGGAATCTTCCACCAACGGAATCGCCGAGTTCAGAGGTGAGGTGCGGTGGCCCGCCTGTGCCGTGCCTGTGCCTGTGTTGTGTCTCCATCCATCCATCCATGCATCCATGCATCTGATTGTCACTTTGTCTGTCTGTCCAGGCAACTGCTTTGCGGGAGCGATGCGCGGTGACCTGTTGGGTGCCAAGTGGAACGGGTGGATATACCGGGTGGACATCCCCTACCTGCCCGAGGAGGAGGGCGAGGACGTCTACATCTCTCACCTCGAGGGCGGCGAGGTCGCCGGGCTCGAGGTCGTCTACGGCCCGGGGTGCAGTATCCTCACCCTCGACTACACCTACAACCACCTCAAGCACATCATGGCCGACGACGAGGACGCCAAGTCGAACGCCGGACCTACCGCTTATGGTAGGGACTCCCGCACACACACACCCAGACACAGCAGAGAGCGCCCCACACTTGAGTCGAGTCGGTTTGTTTTCTCCCTTTGGTGACACCTTCCTTACCCGCAGATATCACGCCGTGGCGCGGCAACTACATCTACGAGCAGAAGGTCATTATCGGTGGCTACAACTTTAACGGTGAGGGCAAGACCAAACCCGATAACCCCCGCAAGGCCACCAAGTTCGTCATCCAGGGCGTCGACTGCACTATCGTCTCTCAAACCGTATGCACACGCGCACCGCACTCGATTCGGCCTGGCCGCGGAGCCGTCTGTGTGTGTTGGTTGATGTGTTGATGCAGGACACGCGCATTGAGGGTGTGATTCCGGCCGTCGAGCAGCCCGCCCACGTGGAGGAGCTGGTGGACGTCATTGTGCACTTCGATGACGGCACCAAGACCGTGCTGCCCGACTCGTGGCTGTGGGCCAACCCCGGTCCGGCCCTCGAGCCCAAGCCGGCCCGTCCGGCCTGGCAAGAGATCGGCGAGGAGTGCTTCGACATGGACACCGACTACGCCAGGGACGCCGGTGCCGACATCGATGCGATCGAGGGCGTCAAGAACTCGCTGGCCTGCCATCTGGAGTGCGCCAAGAACGCCGATTGCCAGTACTTCACGTTCAACAAGGCCGACAAGAACTGCTACCTCAAGGGCGCCAAGGAGCCCGTCGTCACCGAGGACACCGCCGGACTCATCTCAGGACCAAAGTTCTGCAGCGGTCAGTCAGTGTCATAGTGATGGAGCCAACCACTTCGGCGGATAAAGAGACGTGCCTCTGTGTGTTGTGTGTGTGTGGGTGCTCTGTTGTGTGCAGGCATCGCGTCCGTGTGTTACGCCGATGGGTTTGAGATCATGCCCGGCGAGGGCGGTACGCTCAAGGTCAATGACACGGTGGCCCTGCCGGAGGGAACCGACCACACAGCCTGCCCGGCGCTGTGTGTGGAGCCCCAGTGCACGCACTTCGTCTACACCGAGGCCACCTGCCAGGTCATCGGCTCGGACGAGAACAAGACGGCCGCCTTCATCACTCCCGCAGAGAGCGCAGAGAGCTGCGCAGAGGGCGAGACGTTCGTGCCACCCACCTGCACGCTCATGAAGATCTCCGGACCCAAGGCAGAACCCAAAATCAACGTCCGTCAGCCCAGCCCAGCAAACCACGGCGGACACACGTCATCCATTCACATCGCTGGCTGCGTGTGTGAATGTGTGTTTAGAATGGTTGGTACAAGACGGTGTCTGGCCCTGCTGACTGCCCGGGCCGCTCCGCCCTCAACGAGACGGAGGCTGCCGACGAGGCCGAGACCAAGTGCCCCGACGACTTCAAGCCCATCGGCGGCAAGTGCTACCAGATCGTCTTCGACCGCAAGACATTCGACGAGGCCGCCGCCATCTGCAAACTCATGGGAGACGACGTCGTCCTTGCCCAGCCCAAGACTGAGGAGGACAGCGCCGCCCTCGCCACACTGTGGTGCGACGGGTCGGAGGCTCGCGACTGCACCGTCCCCGTCGGCGGCACCAACGACGTGCAGTACTTCATCGGCGTGCAGAAGAGCGGCGACGCCTGGCAGTGGCTGGACGGGGCCGCGGCCTCTTACACGGACTTCGACGACTCCCTTACCGCTGCTGGCGGCTCCTGTGGAATTTTCCATGTACGCACGGCACGGCACGGCACGCACCAAAGGCAACAAATCAATCTCGCTCACCCATCCCTGACTCCATCCATCCATCCATCCCCTGCCTCTGGGTGTCTCTTCTGTCGTGGTGTGGTGTGTTGTGTGTCAGTCGATGGCCACGGACGGCACCCCTCTGGGCAAGTGGGGCAGCATTGACTGCGCGGAGCCGCGGTTCTTCGTGTGTGAGCTCGACCTCGACCCACCAGCCGCCCCCAAGAAGGACACCAGCGAGGGAGATGAGAGTGGCGAGGAGACCGACACAGACACGGCGGAGACCAAAGCTGAGGAGGAGGAGTCGGGAGAGGAGAGCGACGTGGTGTCCGTCAAGAAGAGCAAGGACGCCCCTGCCGCACAAGGGCCCAAGATTGGGGCAGAGGACAAGAAGGCCTCACCGGCCGTCGGCGACAAGACCGAGCCAGCGGACAACGACATGGACGGCAGCAAAGGCAAGAGTGACAGCGACAGCGACAGCGACGATAGCAGCGACAAGCAGGAGAAGAGCACCAAGGTGGTCGACCACCAGAGCAATGAGGAGAAGGATGGCGTTGAGGGCAGCGACGCTGAGGACAGCGGCTCCGTGGCAGACGAGGAGGACGCGTCGGCGGCCAAGGGCAAGGTGCTGGCTTTGCGCATCAAGAGCATCGACCTCAAGGACATCAAGGGCACGGCAGCGACCGAGTCGTTCAAGAAGTCGGTGCAGACGGCCATCGCCAGCGACTTCCACCTCGGCGACCCGTCGGCCGTCCAAATCCGGTCACTCATCAAGCCACATGTCATCGTCCTCTTCTCGTAAGCACACCCACAAGACCCAAGACACACACACCTGCTCTCATGTCTCTCTCTCTCCGTCTGATCTGATTTGCTCAGGGTGCCTGTTGGGGAGTCTTACGCCTACAAGACGCTCGCGGCAGCTGCCACTCAGCTGGACAAGGCCAAGGCGGACCCCAAGAGCGTCATCAACAGGTCCTTCAAGATCGACCACGACTACCCATCCGTCAAGGACACAACAGCCACCATCAAGACCACACCCAAACGGCCATCAGCCGACACAGCAGACGCACCAACCAGCAGCAAAAAGGACTCCGGCAGCAACAGCAACGACGCGCCCGTCAAGACAATCAAGGAGGGAAGCCTCGGTGCGTCGATCGACGGCGAGGACTTGCCGGGCAGCGCCGAGACCAAGGGCCTCCCGGGGTGGTGGTACATCGTCCTCGGTGCCTGCATCCTGCTGGCCATTCTGGCTGTGGCTGCTGTGGTGCTTCGTCTGTGGTGCTTCAACAACAAGTCGCAGGAGCTGCACGACGACCACAGCGACGGCAAGCGCATCAACATCGAGGACGGCCGGATGACCGAGACGCCCCAAAGCGACATGGTGGAGAGCAGCGACGACGGCCACGGCGGCCATGGCAATGCGGCCCACCAGCACCAGATGGTGAGCATGCGTCAGAGGAGCAGGACGCCGGAGGGCCAGCAGCAGATGGATGTGAGGAGCACCAACAGGCAGATGCACATAATGCGGCAGCACGAGCCGGTGCACGGCCAGGCGGCGCAGCAAATCCCTAGTCCCACAATCCTCAAATCGGTATGTATTATGACAGACAGACAGACAGACAACCAGCCAGCCAGCAACCAGCAACCGAACTGAGTACGTGGATGTCTGGGTGCTCTGTCTCTGTCTGTGTCTGTGTCAGATTGTGGTGAATCAGGCGACGTCGCCGCCCGGGGCCTCCCATCTAGAATACTAGATGGGCAGACAGACAGCTGACAGACAGGGAGGGAGGGATGGTTGGATGTGTGTATAGGCAGAGATAGATAGATGGATAGATGGTATGGGCGGCAGGTCTTGTGCCCCTCAGACAGACAGACAGACAGATGGGTTTTGACGTGCCCATGCGGCCATGTGAGCCGTGTGTGTTGATGTGATGTTGATGTGTGTGGTGTGAGTGTAATGGCGAGTGTGCGCGACGCGAGGCCTGTCCAATTTTATAGTGTTCCCCTCCCCTCATCCGTTTTACACTCCGCTGTCTCTGTTGTGTTGGTGTGTGCAATTATGCAGTGTGCAGTGCAGTCTCACACACACACACAGACGATATAATACCATGTAGGTATGTGTGCGTGTGGGCTGGTTCTCTCTCGTGGCTCGTGTTCTTTTCACCTGTGTGTCTCCCTCTGTCTGTCTGTCTGTCTGTCTGGTCTGGTGTGGTGTGGTGTGGGGATCTTTTTGTCTCTTCTCTGTCTCTGTCTGTCTGCGTATGTGTGCATGGGGGAGAGGAGGGGGGGACTCCGTTGGTGGGTTGTCGATAGCTATGAACAAAGAGGGGGGCCGGGAAATATATGCATATCCATTGATCAATCGATGTGTCCATGCATGTGGGTGCGTACGTATGTGTGGTGTGTGTATGCATGTGTATGTGTATTTGTGTGGACTGCATTGCAACGGTGTGCGCGCTCTCCACACTCACTGTCTGCCTGCTGTCAAGCACGAAGCAAGCAAGGTGTAAGGTGTGCATAATTCTATCCTCACTGCTGGTGTTTATTTGGTTTATAGTCGCATGCTCTCTCTGTCTTGTGTGGCTCTCTGTCTGTCTGTCTGTCTGTCTGTCTCGATGTGTGTGTTGCCCGCGAAGGAAGAGCAAGAGCACGCTCCAAGAGCCAGGCCTTCTGCTGCCATTAGCTAGCATGATGCATGACCACTGAATGAATGACGTCTGGCCCACACCCGACAGACAGACAGTGCAGTCCCAGCGTCGCTGGGACTGAAGGGAGACATGTCGTGTCGGGTGTGGAAGGTCTTCATTCACGTAAGTGCGTGTGCGCGGGGTGACGGATTGACAGGGAGGGAGCAACACACATTCATTGACCATGACAACGCAATGCACCGCACATGTGACCGATCCGATCAACCGACCGGCCCATCGCACGTGACGTGGCTGGGGCAGCCAACCGAGCGAGGGACGGAGGGAAAGATGCCTGTCTTTCTGTCTGCCTGCGTGTCTGCATGACTCCATGGTGTGTGTCTGAGTGGCTGCGTGAGAGCGATGGTGAGCGGCGAGAGAGAGAGAGAGAGAGACACTTACGGATGTCCCCGTGGCGGTGGATCATGACATTCATTATGGCGTGTTGTGTGATGTGAGACGACAGATACGCTAGTAGGTAGGTGTTACACACAATCTCACTTAAGTGAGTTGATTGGCTGACTGACTGGCCATTGGCCGCCCAACAGCGGCACGGATCCAAACGCTCTTTCTGTACACTCAGGTCCATCCATCCGTCTATCCATCTGGCACCGAGACACCATCCACACGTGGTCAGTCAGTCATTATGGCACAGAACACACAGTGTCGACACAACAAAACCCATACATACTAACTATCCTCTGACTGACTGGCATGCTACCGTTAGTACAAGTATGCCGCCCTCGTCTTGTCTCATCTCATGTCGGACACGGCTCGAGTGCACCCAAGCAGCAAGCCACAGATACATATCAAAATCCAGATCTGCCAGGCACAACCTCATAACCATACCCGTAGCCACTGTCCACTGCCGGGGGCGGTGGCGGTAGCGGCTGCGGCCGCGCGCGGCCTCTCCGCTGTGGTGGCGGTTGCTGCTGCTGGAACACCTGGTCCTCCTCAATGCCCTCCCGCGCCTCAGCCACGAGCGCATCATCGATCCACGTGCCTCCTGGTGGTGGTGCCTCCTCCTCGAATGCGTCCTCTCCCTCTCCGCCTTCTTCGTCTTCGCTTTCATCGGGTATCTCCCCCCCGGTGCCCGTTGCCTCCTCATACAGCACCTCCTCCAGCAACACACGGTCCCTCGACGAGCTGTCCAGCGGCTGCTCCTCCCGCACCTACATCGATAAAGACACACAATATGTATGGCACACAACGCCATTGTGGATGGATGGATGGATGGACGGACGGATGCGTCTCTCTCGCGCTCTCTCTCTCTCTCTCTGTGTGTGTGTGTGTGTGTGTGTGTCTCACAGGGTATCGGTCGATGCGCCTGACGGCGGCAGCAGCGAGTTCGGGCACCTGGGCGCTGACGACGCGGTCCCGGATGTACCCATGGGGCAGAGACGACAGCTGGCGGAGCACCTCGGCTGTACGCCTGAATGCAGTCAATGCAATGCAGCCACACATCAATTCAATGGTGAATGAGTGAGTGAGTGAGTGAGTGAGGCAGGCGCGAGGGATGGCGGGTCGGGTGTCTGTGGTGGCTTGGCTGACCGTATGAGGCTGCAGAGGTCTCCCTGCTCGAGGTTGGTTCGTGCGGTGAGCTCCTCCCAGCTCATGCCGTCTGCCCACGCCTCCACCAGACTGGCCGTGTTGATGTCCACAGGGATGCTGAGGTCAATCAACTCACTGAACCACACACACACACACACACACACACATGGGTGGTGGTGACGTGTGTGTATGTGTGTGGTGTTTCACGAGCGCACTTTTCCTGGTCTTCCCTGAGCCTCTCGGCGTGGTCTTCCAGTTCGGACACAGCGTCCATCAGCGCAGACGACGGACGCACCCTGACACACACCGCGCCGCACCCAAGGCGACACACACATACTCCCCTCCTCGCTGCCCTCCTCTTTGATTGTTTGATCTCACTGACTGACTGACTGACTGACTTGATGTCCGAAGCCTTGCGCGAGAAGTCCTTGGTGACGGCGTGTATGAGGCCCGCAAACTGTGACGGGTTGAGGCGGTCGATGACAGGCTCCCAACACACCACATGGCCCAGCCACAGCTCATTGGCGGCGTTGAGGTAGCCCACCAGTGAGCCGAATGAGGTCGGCACGAACTCGTCGGTGAGTGCGCCCCACTTGGCGAGGACTCTGCCGACGGCGAGGAACTCCTGCCATGGCGGCCGCGTGAGGCTGCCGTAGGCCTCCTTGAGCTCGTTGAGCTGGGCCGTACGGGCGGACCTGTTGCCGCGCTTCAACTGCTTCTCCAACGCTAGCAGATCCAAACCCATCCTCAAGACCTGCAGGGACACACAGACGTGGGTGTAGTGTGGTGTGGTGTATCTGCATTCTCTTTCACTTCACTCAGGCACCTCACCTGCTGCCTGTCTGTGCGCGTGTGAATGGCCGCCTCTTCCAGGTTCCTCTGCGCCCGCTCCACCACCTTGGTCTGCCGCGCCACGGCGGGCGGCTGCACGGCTGCTGCGGGCGGCACCACCTCGCTCCCCACCTCCTCACACAGATCATACAGGATCGCCCCCTGACGGTCCGTCGGCTCGTCAGGCATCTCCAGCCAATACAGACCCGGCAGCACCTCGCCCCACACAGGGCCATCGCCCTCTCCCTGCCGCTGCTGTTGGTTGAGCCACACGGCCATGGTGTCCACGACGGTTCGTGCGTCGGGGTATGGCAGCCCCACTTGGCTGCGGGGGTCCAGGTTGACGATGGCGTTGGGGCATGCGACCACCAGCTGGCCGGTGGTGGTCAGCACTATTGCCAGGGGGGCCCGGGCAAGGGCACCCGTTGAGAGCTGGGGGGGTCTGAATTGCTGGTCGAGCAGGCCGACGAATGCCCCCACCTCGCCGTTGATGAGCTCGACGGCCCCGCCCTTGCGGAAGGTGGGCAGCATCTTGCTCACGGCCGCCGCACGGTCTGCCTCTGCGCTGGTGCGGACCGTTGACAGCCTGCATCACATCACACGCGATGCAGCCACAGACCACGTGTGTCGAAAGGGGGGTGATGTGTGTGTCTGTGTCTGTGCGTGTGTGTGTGTGTGTGTGTGTGGACTGACTGACTCACTGACCAGTCCTTCTCTGCCTGCAGCCGCTGGAATGCCCTGCGATAGATGTCGAGCTCGTTCATGTCCACGCCCATCTGCAGGCAGCCAGGAGGCTACACACATTCCTTCCGCCCACCCACACCACACCGCCCATAGGCACGCACCTCTCGCAATCTCTGTCTGGTGTCGTTGATCCTCTCCTTGGCCACTGCAGGGTCGAGTATTTCCATCCTGCCCTCGGCCTCCCGCCGTCGGGCCTGCAGGAATACCCCGAAGCTCTTCTCTATCAGCTCGCGGCTCTTGCTCAGGTCCCGCACCCGCAGCACGTTGGTGGCCAGGCCGTACGTGATGCGGAACTGGCTCTTGATCGAGTCCAAAGGGGCCAGCAGCGTCATCGCCGCCTCACGAGCGTCAGTCCTGCCGTATATATGCCAGCCACACACACACACAAACGTACACCTATGCGATGCGACAAGGAAGGGACGGAGGCACATCCACCCAGCCACCCACCCCACCTGTCGCTGCGAATGAGTACGACGGATCCCTCGTGGTCTTTGCCTCTCCTGCCGGCCCTGCCGGCCATCTGCAGCAGCTGCGAGGTGGACAGCCGCGTGAGGCCCTCGCTGCCGTACTTGCGCAGCACCGTGATGGCCGTCGTGCGGGCTGGCATGTTGACGCCGGCAGCTAGGGTCTCAGTCGCGAACAGCACTTTGATCAGATTGGCGTTGAAAAGCTCCTCCAACAAGATCTGACAGACAGACAGACAGACAGACGGTGAGAGACAGAGAGTGGTGCATCCATGTATGCCATCGGCTGGCTGGCTGAGCCACCTGCCTACCTACCTTGTATAGTGGCAGCAGGCCCGCGTGGTGGCTGCCAATGCCCTACACCACACGCATCACATCACATCACACACAGAACCGACCATCATGGGTACGCAGGCATGAAGCACCCAGCCCATCCCCCCTTCCCCCTCCCCCCTCCCACCTTTCTGAGTAGACCAATCCTCCATGGCTCAATGAGCAGCTCCGGGTTTTCCTGCGCAAACTCCCGCAGCTTGGCCTGCACGGCCTGCTTCTCGGCCTCGCTCAGCAGCTCCATGCTGTCGGCCGCCAGCCGACGGGCACTGCTGTCGCAGCCAGACCTGCATGCCATGAAGAAGACACACGAATGACATGTGTGTGTCGTGGGTGTGCGTGTGTGGGTGGGGGGGGTGTCCCCCGCAGGGAATCAAGGTAGCCAACGTACCTGGAGAACATGAAAATGATTGCCGGCAGCAGCTGCTTCTTGCGCATCTGCGACACGAGCTTCGACAGAGTGGGCGTCTCTGCGTCAGCTATCTGATCCACACAATAAATATTCAACAAACGGCACCCTGTTATGTGTCGCCCGAATGCTTCCCCTCCCCTCCCCTCTCTGTCTGTCGCTGTTTGCTTGCCTGTTTGGCGCTGACGAGGGACTGCAGGGATCGCTCCTTGCGGCCCTCGAACTGGTCGACGTCGTCATCGTCATAGCTCATGAGCTTCTTGAGTTGCCGCGCCCGCCGCCCACCGCGGCCTCCGTTGTTGGACTGCCGCCTCAGCCTCGCCTCGATCCCGGGACGGTGACGCTTCACCAACGAACGAATCGTATCCCTGACACACACACACACATACACAGCGCAGGAGGCCACAAGCGAGAAGGGAGAATGGCACGAATGCATCCTTCCTTGTCGGTGCGGCTGAGGGTGATTGCATACTCACTTGCGAAGGTCTTCAAAGACGGGGTTGAGGGGTATAAGCGGCGCTCGAGGCTTCTTGGGTGTGATGATCTTGCCCTCGCTGGCCCGCAGCCCCCCCGCCAGCTCCAGGATGTCCTCCTCGGCGGCCATGTCCTCCTCCTCCCCCTCAAGCAACGGCACGCCGTTGCGCGCGCCGGGGCCCGCTTCCGCATCTCTGAAGAGGGGGTAGAGGCCCTTGTTGGTGGCGAACATGTATCGGAGTGGGACAGGGCGGTGCTCAGACACGACCAGGTCAGTAGGGCCGTGGACGCCGGCGAGCCAGTCTTTAAGGTCCATTGGGTTGGCCATGGTGGCGCTGAGGCCGACGATGTTGATGTGTTTGGGGCAGTTGATGACGCACTCCTCCCACACGGTGCCCCGGCTGGGATCGTTGATGTAGTGGAATTCGTCGAATATCACCGACACCGTCTCGCCAGTCAGCTTGGACGGCACGTAGCTGTACTCGTCCTCGCGGATCGCCTCACCGTACAAAATGTTCCGGAACACCTCTGTCGTCATCACCAGCACAGGCGCCTCACGATTGCGCACCACGTCGCCCGTCAGGAGGCCGACGGTCTCCTCGCCGTAGATCTGCTGGAAGTCCGAGAACTTTTGGTTGCTGAGAGCCTTGAGGGGCGACGTGTAGAAGACCTTGCGGCCGCGGGCAAGGGCGAACCAGATCGCCATCTCGGATATCACCGTCTTGCCGCTCCCTGATTAACGCCCAGACACACACACACACATTCACATACACCCACGATGACAAGCCTCCTTGCTTTCTCTTCTGAGGGCAGACAGACAGCTGGGCTGGCTGACCTGTTGGTGCCGAGACGATGACGTTCCTGCTCTTGAGTATGCTCCGGAGCGCCTCCACTTGGAAGGCATCCAGGGTGAAAGGAAACAGCGCCTTCATCAGTTCCTCCATCTCGCCGTTAGTCAGATAATCGCTGCCCGCCCGGGACGTTATCACCGCCTCCAGCAGATTGATGGCCGCCGGCGACCCCGCCACACGCCGAATGTCTTCAACACTCACAGGCAAGGACATGCCGTCATGCATAGCACCAACAGGCGCAGCATCGTCCGTTCGTGTCGGGGTGCGGCGGGCGTGCAGATGCGTTGATGCGCGTCGGACTGCTGCAGATCTTCGTCTGCGCGGTGTTCCGGACGACCGCATGGGCGCGTTGAGAGTGCTGAATGCGCTCACTTGAATGGGCGAGGCGAGGAAGAGCAGGCAGATAAGCATAACGAAGGGGATGAACTGGCACCTTCTCCACTGAACGACGCCCCGCATGCCGCCGCGCCGCCTCGATTGCATCGCTCAGGACATCGGCAATGCAGCTGATCTGGCAATCCGTCGACAAGATCTGAGCAGAAGTTGACTTGGCGCGATGGCAAGGGATCAAAGCTTTCCAAGCGCGGGGTCTCGGAGGAGATTGCGTTGCGAGCTTCTGAGGATGCGAGCTTGAAGCCGGAGGTCAAGATCTTCCCCAGACCCGTCGTTTGGAGTTGATATCCCGTTGAGTTGCTATCCCGACGGCAGATGTCGCACGACGAGACCAATTCCGAGACTGATCTTCATCAGCCTGACGACGTCGATTACTCATCGTCATCGGCCATCAGACGGCCACCGCCCGTCCCACAGGCCACGCCTCAGCCAAGAGAAGCCGAGGGCAACACTGCTGCGCCGGCTGTCCACTTCAAGACTCTCGCCTTTGGCGCGTGGAGGTGCGCCTGTGTGGCGGGCACATATCTGTGGGCTGTGATCGGCTTCGTTGTGGCACCCTATTTCATGAACACCGTCCGAGCTGATGTGAGCGGTTGCAGGAGGACGCCTGTGGCTGGCTTCGGTGTCCCACAGGGTGGTGCATTACCGATGAGGAGGCGGCCATTCAGAACAGGTCAGTCAGTCACATTCTCATACATTGACTGACTCGTCCCATTAGAATTGTCTGCGCGTCCTGTCCTCCACTTCTTTCGCCGACCGACAGATCTGTCTGTTCCTGGCCGCCCCAGCCTGTCGGTGCTGATGTCCCTGCCATCTGAGTCGAAGCTGCGTCGCGTGGAGGAGCTCTCCAAGGAGGACTTTGCGGGCATGCCCATTCGGCGCCCCCCCGCCCCTTTCCGCTCCCCTGCGGTGTCGCGTCCGTCGTGGGCGCCCGACTGGCGGCGGCCGTATTTGTATGACGAGGAGGACATCGCCAACAGCACATGGGAGATCGCTTCCTTCTTCAAACAGGACTATGACAGGCTCAAGAGAGGAGACCAAACCGCTGTCTACAGGCAAGCAGGTTGACACGAGGATTGGGGAGGGAAGCGAAAAGCGCTCCATGGTGTGTGTGTGTGTGTGTGTGTCATCAGGACGGTTGTGAGGTGTAACGATGACGACACGGTGGCATGGGCGGACTTGTCGTGGCCCCGTCAGCAAGGGACGTGGCGCTTTGACGGCGACGCTTACCTGACCATCCGTCGGTCGCTGGGTGGTGGGCTGCTGGGCCGTCGGCTCTTCAAGACCTATGCGTTGCGCAACTACTACTACTGCGAGGGCATTATCCAGGGCTGGAGGCCCTGGCAACCCATCGAACAACTCGGCTTCTTTCAGGTACGGCCGCCTAGCCCCACCTGCCTGCCGTATGTATTTGTATGCATCATTTTGTCTTGGTCCTTACCTTAAAGGCTCGTCGGTTGGGCTTCAGTGATGCGGAGAGGGGTCCCCCGCCATGGCTGGACCGGACCGAGGAGAGGAGCCTGGAGTGGGTGAGGGATGCACGTGCCCGAAGAGAGAAGAAACGGAGGAAACTCAGATGGAAGGAACGGCTGTGGGAGCTGGACGAGCTCTACGCCAACCTCAAAGATACGGGAGCCAGTTGATATCAACGCCCAAGGCATTTTCGGCGAGCGAGATCAAGGTGGCTGACTGGGTGAAGGGGGGGGGGGGGGGG